TAAAAGTTGAAGATTTTGAAAGAAAAGCCAGGGACTCAAGTGATTCTCCTGCCTCAGCCTCTCAAGCAGCTGGGACCACAGGCGCCCACCCTAACACCTGGCTGTTTTATTTGGTTGCAGCTGTCATTGTTGTTTGGCGGGCCTGAGCTGGATTCAAACCCACCACCATAGGTGTATGTGGCTGGCATCTTAGCCACTTGAGCCACAGGTGCCGAGCCAGCCTTCTGGTTTTCTTTATCCTCCTCCTGTTCCCTCCTTGTCTCCAGCAGCTTGCCTCAGAGAGTGGCCTCCTCCCCTATCACTGTCCTTACTTTACCCCTGTGCACCTTTGCCCTGGCAGGGGAGATGGGCTTTGAGCCCTGCTACGCCGAAGTCCTAAGGGTGGTACAAGGAAAACTTCACCAGCCAGAGGAGGTCCAAAGAAGTTCCTTCTATGCTTTCTCTTACTATTATGATAGAGCTGCTGACACAGACATGATTGGTGAGTTCTCCCCAGGTGTTAGTCCATAGAGGAAAGTGAGCAGGACTGTGGCCCACCTCAAAAGAAGCACTTGAAATGCTTTAGACAATTACTCAACTCTTTTCCAGTGCTGGTTGTTGAGTGGCACCAGTCACTCAAATGGAAGGGTGAATATGATGTAGAATCTTTTGGAGGTAGATAACCTGAAGAACTATACATGATGTCTTTTTTTTTCTTTTTCTTTGTAGAGACAGAGTCTGACTTTATCACCCTTGGTAGAGTGCTGTGGTGTCACACAGCTCACAGCAACCTCCAACTCCTGGGCAATTCGCAACCTCCAACTCCTGGGCGATTCTCTTGCCTTGGCTTCCCAAGTAGCTGGGACTGCAGGTGCCTGCCACAATGCCCAGCTATTTTTTTTATTACAGTTTGGCCGGGGCTGGGTTTAAATCCACTACCCTCGTATATGGGGCCAGCGCCTACCCACTGAGCCACAGGCACTGCCCATATGATGTCTCTTTAAAAAATATCTTGGGCAGCTCCTGTGGCTCAAAGGAGTAGGGCACTGGCCCCATATACCAGAGGTGGTAGGTT